TAGCTTACAATTAGCAAAGTTTCGGTTTAAACATCTGAACCGGATCTAAGGACGTTTCGTGTTTAGCCGAGAAAAAAAAAGATATACAGCTGGTTTTCTGGTTTTTCTCTGTTTTTGTTGTTGGCTAATATTCCCCTCATTTCTGGGGACATGACCTTTTTGAAAGTAGACTTCGCACACACAGTTTTATTTCAAATTTATCTCGAATATTCTTAGCTTATTCCTATTAAAATGCCATTTTCTAATTCACATATAAGGGAAAATACTTCGGAGTTGTGTCTCGGTGTAATGGAAAGTTAAGCGACCTGAACAAGGGATAAGAAATGGAAAATTTGCTCCACTTCCTTGACATGACAGCAAAAACAGGCCTAAGAGGTTATCTGATTTTAAGATCTTTTGCTAGTTACACACTTACTGAGAACATAGACATACTAAAGAAGCCAAAAATGATTAGAAATAGACATTAGAAATGTCTATGTTCTGTTTGCCATACAATCTTAAATAAGATCTAAAATAAAAAAAATACACATTTAGTACTTTAACTCTGTGGACCTGACTATTATTAACCATACTATTAAAACATTCAAATGTAAAATGGTTCCTGAACATACAATCTTCAGCCAGTGAGATAAAATGAGGAAATAAGTGACGTCAGACATCCTAACTTGCTCCCAAAAACAGAAAAATGGGATTTCCCCCCTTTAGTGTGCCATCTTTAATAGCCATAAAGATTTTTATGTGATATTTTTTTAATCAAGGGTGCTTTAGGGGGATTGTTTCTCTTTTATTTGTATTTTATCTGTGTATAGTAATCCAGACACAAATATCTGCTTGTTAATTTCTCCTTGAGTCAGTGGACTTGGATCATCGTGTGTAATTAAACATTCATTAATTAGTTTTAACCTTCATATCCTCTTTGGTAGGCAGTTTAGGTCCAGTCAGTTCAAACTCTTTCTTTTTCATTCAAATTTTAAAATGAATCCTGACTGTTTTAGTTCTCTGGAACAAAAAAAAGGCTCATTTTGCTGGAAAATAAGAGCCGAAGACGTCAAACAATGTAGCTCAAACTGTTCCGGAGTAAAAGTGGACCTTTTTTTTACCTTGTGTGCGAAGTTTACTTTCAAAAAGGTCACGTCCCTAGAAATGAAGGGGAATATTAGCCAACAACAAAACAGAGAAAAACCAGAAAACCAGCTTTTTTTCCCTCGGCTACACACGAAACGTCCTCAGATCCGGTTCAGATGTTTAAACCGAAACTTTGCTAATTGTAAGCTAGTTTTTACAACTGATATTTATGGGCTTTCTGACACGTAGCCGGTGATGCCTGTGGACCCGAGGAGGCCGCCGTTGCCGCGGCGATCGTCCGGCTGCCGGAGGTCCGGCTGGTGGTCCTGGGCTGGAGGTGGCCGGGGAAGAGCCTGACGGGAAACACCATCATGGGCCGCGAGGAGTTCCACCTGGAGCGGGCGGCCGAGTTCTGCGTGAAGCGGGAGACGGAGGTGGAGGGCCGGCAGGTGGTGGTGGTGGACACCCCGGGCTGGTTCTCCGCCCAGGACACCCCCCCCCTCGTACAAAAAGGAGCTGGTCAGGGGGGCCTCCCTGTGCCCGCCCGGGCCCCACGCCTTCCTGCTGGTCATCCCCGTGGGCATGTTCACGGAGGTGGACCGCGCCCGCATCGAGGAGCACGTGAGTCTGTTCGGGGAGGCCGTGTGGAGGCACACCATGGTGGTGTTCACCTGGGCGGAGGTGCTGAGGACCATCTCCATCGAGAGGTACATACGGAGGGAGGGGAAAGACCTGAAGTGGGTCCTGGAGAAGTGCAAGAGGAGGTACTTTGTCATCAATAACTCCGTATTCGGAGAGGACCCCCAGGTGGGACGCCTGATGGAGAGGGTGGACAAGATGGTGGCCGAGGAGGGTCACTACGACCCCGAGGTGGATCTGAGGTCTCTGGATGAGAACCAGAACCCGGCCGGAACCGGGCCGGATCAGGGGGACCGGCCAGAACCGAACTCTGGACCGGACCCGGCCCAGAAAAGCCCGGAGGGGGAGTCTCTGTCCAGTAAGTGATGAGGGGATGTAGAATCAATGGATGCTAGCTGTGGAGTCTGTGTTCTAGCCTTAATGATGGATGGATGGATGGATGGATGGATGGATGGATGGATGGATGGATAGATAGATAGATAGATAGATAGATAGATAGATAGATAGATAGATGTGGATGTCGGCTGCCTGTGAGGATAACATGCTAGCCAACAGGAAGTTCACCTTTGTGTGCTTTCTCCTCCCGTCTCCATGGCAACCCAAAGCTAAAAGTCTCTTGCGTTTGCTTGCAGATTGAGGAGCCGCTGACAGACTGACCGGTGGCTGCTTAAAAGAGGAGACGGGAAATGGTCAAAAACTGAAACGTGGCTGAATGTAGGATGTGACGGGATGGTATTTATTATGAATCGAACACGTTACTGCTGTTTATTATCGGTGATGCACATGTTGTGTGAGGGGTGCGTTTCTGTTTTTACTGTAACTACAAACAAGCCCCAGCTGAGACTTTCAGGGGGCTGTTTTTATTTTTCACCCTTTCACTCTTTTGTCTGAAAAAACAAAACTTAGATGAACTGCACTATTAAGTTATCTCTAGGATTTTTTAAAAACTGTTTCCTCCTGTTGTGACCAAACTGTAAATGCTTTTCTTACCCTGCACTGGATCTGACGTGTGTACAGGTTCTGTTTTTCTGTTGTTTTTTTTCCTTAAACTGATCTTTTAAAGTGTGTTGATTTGTGGCTGAGAGGTAGAAATGATCTCTGGTGGACTTTTATCCAGTAAAATACTATCATATGCAAGATTCACACTTCTTAAAAAGTTGTTTTTCTTCGTGTTATCATTGTGTTTGAAGACGTTAGAGACTGAAATGATTCATCTAAATCCGACTGACGCTTCAGTTTCTGATTAATCAAAGATGGAGGCTGTATGAAACTTTTGGCCATAAACAAGTACCAAAAAAAACAAACAAAAGACGTCATAATGTTCACGTTTAGAACTGTTCAGGTATTCTGAATCCGGGGGAACCAGGACTTTTCTGCCAGAGGGTTCTGGGTTGGAGTCCCCGGGGGAACCAGGACCTTTCTGGGTGGAGTCTGCATGTTCTCCTGTGTCTGTGGGTTCTCTCCGGGTTCTCCGGCTTCCTCCCACCGTCCAAAAACCTGCATGTTAGGTCGGTTGGACTCCAAACTGCCCTTAGTGTGAGTGTGTGTGGTTGTTGGTCCTTGCGTGTCTCTGTGTGTCCCTGTGATGGACTGGGGACCCTCCAGGGTGACCCCGCCTCTCCCCATTGGCTACTGGGATAGGCTCCAGACTCCATAAGGGAATAAGGAGTTACCATAATAGATGGATGGATTTGAAGTAATTGTCTTTGAGACTGAAAGAAGCCAAAAACAACCAAACACCTCACACAAATGGAAATCTACTGTCTTCTCCAGGATTTTCCTCCCCCATCTGTGGAATTTTACCACGAGCGTGGACTCTTTCTTGCACTTTTTTGCTCAGACTCCTCTAAAAATAGATGTGATCCCAAAGGTTGCTTTGCAAACAGCATCAGATGATCCCGAGTTAGGATGTGGGGGGGGGGGGGCTCTGACACTCAGAGGCACTAATAATGGAGGTGAAATGTTTTCTAATGGTGGTTCTACCTGTGTCAGAACAGAAAGGACCGGAAAACACGCCCAGCAGCGTGTTCGTGCTCTAAAGAATATTATTTCCTGCCTCAGTTTGCGTCTCTTTTCCCTCAAACGTCCCCTCCTCTGCTGCTTTTCAAATCCAGCCCTTTTTTTAAAAAACAAAACAAATCCAGCCCATTTTTTTAAAGAAAACAAACAAAAAAAACTCTGCATCACACAGACCAAAATAGGCAGAAAGAAAGCCAACAGACCCCCCCACCCCCCCGGTTAGGGTTAGAAAAAGCTGTTTGTGGTGGGACACATCAGGGCCGGTTGCCCCGGGTTACCGGTTTGGGGCGGGGCTCCTTTAACCCAGTTTGGGACGCTTCCCCCCGGGGGGGGGGGTTTTTTTGGGGGGGGGGGGGGGGGGTGTGATCATCCCATTTAGAAACACTCCCACACACACAGAGCTCCTCTGTAAGATGAGACTGTGTAAAAAACACAAATATGCCCCGGATGTGTCGGTTAAACACTCACATTTATTCCATCTGTGGACACTAGACGGGGTTTAGTTTCTCAGGCCTGAAACATAAGTGAACAAAACAAAAACAGGACCTTCTGCTCAACAGCTGGAACGTCCCCAGGGGCCTTTTTTCCCAGCATGTTTTTGCTCAAAATGTCCGTTTTTTTTATTCGACTTGAAAAATATGCAGCAAATAAAAGCCCCATCTCCACGTTTTTCACCAGATTAGCTTCTTTTATTTCATAATATTACGGGTTTGGGGAGATTTAAGACACAAGCTTCCAAACCCACAAATGGAGAGGTTTCTTTTAATTGGAAATGTCCACTTTAAAGGAGACATGAGCATCAGGAAACAGACATCAGCCATGTTTTAAAGCAAGAAAAAAAAGGACTCTGATTGTGTTTTCTGGAAGGGTGAAGACTGTTAAACTTAGCTCCAAATTCATCGTAGGCAGGGACTCGTTTAGGGACGACAAAAGCCCCCCGGGGACGACTTAATGTGGTCCTAAAATAAAGAGAGGACCGGCCCTTTAAATCCAAACGGCCAGCCCCTGTTCCCGCCACTAGGTGGGAGTCAAAGCCCAAATCCTGGACCGAGGATTTGGCTCCGTAAAGGACATTTAACGGGATCCAGTGAGGGCCGTTGACTCCCTCCAAAAGAGAAAAGAAGGAGAAGAAAATAAGTGTGAAAATAAGCCCTGGTTGTGTGTGTGTGTAGCTGTCTGAGTTGGGCCAAAGCCTTTTAACATCACACACATTATTCATTCTTCTATCATTTTTCCCACTGTATTAAATATACCACATCAATTTGAACCCCACATGCACAAAATGCAGAGACTTTCCTCTGATATTCATAAAAAAAACAAATTTAAAAAATGTAAAAGGGCTCTTTACAAATCTTTGTGTGGGTGTTTTGCTTAAAATTTTTTTTCTCGAATGAAAAACACGCAATGTACACACAGAGTTGGGCCAGATTAGATACTTTAAATGAACGATGGATGGTGGAAAGGAGTGGTTTGTAAGAAAACTGGGTCTGTGATAGACACACACACAGACACACACAGACACACACACACACACACACGTGCGCTCGCGTGTGCGCAGACCTGTTTTTACCAACATAGTTTATTTCAAATGTAATCAAACAGTAGGTACAGAAATACAGACAGCTGTGATATGGGCTGATTGGAGTATCTGTGTGTGTGCAGAGGGGGGGTGTGTGTCACCATTTTAAAAAGCAAAAATGTCTCAGTTTGTTGTGCGTAAGTGTGAAATGTTGTCAAGAAAACAAAAATATGTAGAAACCTCCCCCATCCCAGGAAAAGCCAGATCCTGATGGCTGTTTTCACTTTTTGAAAGTGGTGAGCAGACGATAGCCGGGTGAAATATTCAAAAATGAATTTTTAGTTGTGTTGCTTTTGTTGTATTTTTTATGGACTGTTCGACACAACAAAAACA